GGATCATGGTAATAATTTCTTGCCTAAAAATGTAATATCAATATAATATTAGACATTATAGTTCATTGGACCGTTATTGGACGGGTTAATTTATTTCTAATTAATTAACATAACACATTCACAATTGTTTGCTCACAAACTACTAAATAGAAATAAAGCTAAAGGTTGTTCGTTTTCCACTGAAATAATTTTGAAAATAGCAAGAAAACTGAGAGTTTTGAAACAATTAAACAAAGTGTTCCTTTATAGATGCAAACTTAAAATCTCTTGGGTATTTAAACACTTTTTATGGTTGTCCTTGCTTAACTTTAATGGCTGCTTACGTATATAATTATCATAATAATCAAACATATAATAATCTCAAGTGATTCTTATACGCACTTATGATTGGGATTGGGGTTATTTTGAAAGTAAGTATAAAGCAATCGGTTAAAGCAACCAAATTGACACGTTTAAAATGGACCCGAAATTCTAAACTTGCGTGGCTTCATACTATCAAAATTACAAACTAAAATTCGTTAAATATAAGCATTTGAATACTACAGATCGTGAGGTCTTGGGTTCAAATGCTAAATATTGAAATATGCCATTATTTCCGCCTTACCGATAAAAAAGTCTCTCTGCATCTTCTTCCGCATTTACCATTGAGAGTGTTCGGAGTTACTGTTCGGATAATTACCTGCAGCTGAGTTTCGTCAACGGTCGTCGAGGCAGAATACGAAATTCCACCTGTATCGACGTCCGTCGTTCTACAACTAAGCGTTTTTAAGACACCTTTTACGTCGCATCACCAGTATGTGTTACCAGCTACCCACTAAAGTGTTCGAAACAATCCGACTTCTTCAACATGAGAGCATACCAATTCTGTAAAGGCTGACAACGCACTTGTGAGTCTGACTAACACTGCCAGAAGGTGAAATATCACTTAACATCGGGTGAGCCATCTTAAAAACAATAACAATACTATTAAGTGGATTTATATAAAAGCAGTAGTTATGTAGAAGAAGGATGGTGTACTGTTGCTCCAAGCTAAAGGGAGGATCATTTTTTTAAACAAGGTGTAAATGCGCTTACGCAGGCCCGCGCCATGGAAGTCGAGCTTGACGCGGGGACTGTGGGGCTGGGTCTACACTCAAAGCCCTTTGCTATTCAGAGGGGTAGCCCACACCCTCTAAAAACATCTCAGCCCTTCACATGCCCTTAAGATGGGCCCTACTCTACCCAAGGGACCCGGGCCGTATATATCCGACGTAGAGAGATCATTCACGACATGCAGTTCCGGGCCACTCGACCGAGACCCAGCCTTGAACCACCGGCCAGTCTACGGTCAAAGCCAGACCTCTTCCTCAATCGCTCAGCCATTGCACTCCAGGCCTCCTCACTTCCTAGCATAGCTAAAAGGCAGGATCCTAGACCAGTATACCAACTAACTGGCCGCCTGAAGGCCCCAGTGGCTAATGGGGAGAAGTTGTTTATATCCTTCGTGGTTGGAATAAGTTTATGATCGCGTTTCAGGGTATGACGTCATCGCACTGATTTCGTAGCGCAGATTGTAGGTGTACAATTCGATTGTAAGATGTTTTTATCCTCTTTTTATAATAATATTGATGACAAGATTCTGTTACAGAAAATGTTACTTTTCTGTAACAGAATCTTGCATGCAATAATTTGTTAGGTAGCTTAAAGGTTTTGAAAACAAAAATTTAAAAGATATAGATGGTAGTAACAGTAATTTTAAGATACAGACGTTGAATTTTGTGATCCTCTTAATTTTCTTATTATTTTATGGGTAATTCTTTAACCCAAGTATGTCACTTAAGTTTGTGTTTTTCAGTTTAACTGCTAAGATATTTTACTTTGAAATTTGCGTCATTTAATTAAATAATTACGACATTACAAATAATTATACGTATAATGGTGAAGACAACATGAAATTAAACACTCTTCTTATTACACGGCTCATGAGACTAGCAATTTGTCTTTGTGTAAAGGTTAATAAGTATCTTATGTTAATGTTAATCAAGCTCGAATATTACAAATATACATTTTCCAATATTCTTTGCATTTTTTTACTTCCACTCATCACATCTTTCATTGTAATACATTAGCGATTGGCGAGGGTTATATTTACTTAGTGTGTTTTAGTAGCAAAAATATTTCTCATTGAATTCATATTCAAGTCATTATTTGCCAGTTTTCAATTTCCAAAGACATCTTTAAATTTGAAAGCCGCTTCATACAAGCGAACGAAATCATCTGCCGTTATCATCAGCTAATGACGGCTTGCCACGTCTATGCGAAGAAACTGTTTGTTATTTTTGTATGATAATACTTTATATCAGGCATTTTAACTGATATATTAGGTCCTTACATATGAAATTGGCGTTTTGTATGGGAGGAAGAAAAAGTCGAATATTTTTAAATATAATATATTTAATTAATCAAAGTATGAATCATTGTTTTCTATGCACTTTTGCCATCTCATAGGTAATTTATTGATCCTGTAGTGTATTGACTAAATAAAGTGTTACTTGGTTGTCTCATGCGCCTACGTCACTTGTCAGTTGTCAGACTGGCAGTCGTAATCCGACACCCGAACGGAGCGGTTGTGTGTAGGACGTTTGTACAAGTGTTGTGGTGTTGGTGAGCCGTAAATCACTCCAAGAAGCAGGACATTACATGTGGCGACGAGGAAAAAGTGAGTACACATAAGAAAAAAAAAGGGAAAGATACGGTGCACTAAACAATTAGTGACGTCATTCCCAGAGTACTTTGCCTATAATTTACTATGACCCGGTTGTTTTAATCATTAGCTATTGATAGCAGAAACAGTTGCATCTTGACTTCTGAACGAATGTAGATAATTTTATTGTTGACGGGAAATATGAACAGTACTTAGGTACTTATTGTTTTCATATTTCATAAATGTTTTGCTTGTATTACAATATTTAATATTGTCGTACCTACATTTAAACAGTAAGCAACAAACCTCTGCAATTACTGAGCTAAGGATATAAACAAATAATTACCTATAGGTTCAGCTAAGCTAAACTACGGGTATCTACATTGAATGTACGATTGTTTTGTAGCACCTACCTACATAGTGATAGAAATATATTGTACTAGTAGACCGGCAAAGCGTTGCTGTGGCTAAGGATTTTGTTATATTACAAAGTAGTAAACTATTCAAGGGAAACGGTAGGAGTACACCAATCGTGGGGACCACCATGTTTTATGGTGGTTATGCCATTAAATTATAGAAACGTTGAAAGAATTTATGAAACGTTGGTACTTTTAACACAGCGCCATCTGTTAGAATGGTGGCTATTAAATAAGAAACAAATATTTTGCAATAAAATTATATTGCAGGTTTAAATTGAGATGTATCTTTTAAGTTGGATCAAACTACACACGGTGTGCAAATTTGATTGATATCGGTTCGGTAGTTTAGGAGTCCATTGAGGACAAACATTGTGACACGAGATTTATATATATTAAGATTATGCTTGTGTTTAGTGATGTTTCTATTTGTCTACAAAAATAATAATAAAAATAATAGCAAGGTTTATTTACAACCGTTGACCGTTAAATCGGTAGGTACCTGTCTACCTAACTAACGTAGATTTAACAAAGACCCTAAATTGGATCTGGTTCACTAAATTAATTAAACTATGTGGTTGTGATTAATACTGTAAAACAAATGGGAGTATCTACTGAAAGCAGTTGGAACCCAACTGATCATTAAATTGATACCAGTAAATAAAATAAAAGCAGACAAAAAGTCTGATCATTAAATTGATATCTGTAAATAAAAATAAAAGCAGACTAAAAGTCTGATCATTAAATTGATACCTGTAAATAAAAATAAAAGCAGACTAAAAGTCTGATCATTAAATTGATACCAGTAAATAAAAATACAAGCAGATTAAAAGTCTGATCATTAAATTGATACCAGTAAAAAAAAACAAAAGCAGACTAAAAGTCTGATCATTAAATTGATGCCAGTAAATAAAAATAAAAGCAGACTAAAAGTCTGATCATTAAATTGATGCCAGTAAATAAAAATAAAAGCAGACTAAAAGTCTGATCATTAAATTGATACCAGTAAATAAAAATAAAAGCAGACTAAAAGTCTGATCATTAAATTGATATCTGTAAATAAAAATAAAAGCAGACTAAAAGTCTGATCATTAAATTGATACCTGTAAATAAAAATAAAAGCAGACTAAAAGTCTGATCATTAAATTGATACCAGTAAATAAAAATACAAGCAGATTAAAAGTCTGATCATTAAATTGATACCAGTAAATAAAAACAAAAGCAGACTAAAAGTCTGATCATTAAATTGATGCCAGTAAATAAAAATAAAAGCAGACTAAAAGTCTGATCATTAAATTGATGCCAGTAAATAGAAATAAAAGCAGACTAAAAGTCTGATCATTAAATTGATACCTTTAAATAAAAATAAAAGCAGACTAAAAGTCTGATCATTAAATTGATACCTGTAAATCAAAATTAAAGCAGACTAAAAGTCTGATCATTCAATTGATATCTGTAAATACAAATAAAAGCAGACTAAAAGTCTGATCATTAAATTGATACCAGTAAATAAAAACAAAAGCAGATTAAAAGTCTGATCATTAAATTGATACCAGTAAATAAAAACAAAAGCAGATTAAAAGTCTGATCATTAAATTGATATCAGTAAATAAAAATAAAAGCAGATTAAAATTCTGACCATTAAATTGATACCAATAAATAAAATAAAAGCTTTACAATAAAATTATTATTGTACGTTAGTGAGTACTAACTTAGCAGATTAAAAATCTGATAATTCAATTTATACGTTTGTTGGTATGGACAGCTTAAGTAGATTTATGCGGATAAAAATATAATCCGATCATTAAATTGATACGAGATGGAAGCATCTGAGATCAAATCTAACTGCAGATACATAGATATCTGAATCATTAAATTGATAATTCCTGGTCGCCCCAAAGATGTCACTCCTTTCACTGGAAAAGTTCGACTGTAACGGTAAATCTACCTCAATGGGTGCACGATGGGAGCGATGGAAACGAGCACTATTCATTTACCTCGAAGCGTCTAACATTGACGAAGACGTAAAGAAAAAGGCATCTCTCGTACATTTCGGTGCGCTAGACTTACAGGAAGTGTTTTACAACATTCCTGGAGCTAATGTCGAACCAACTGAAGGCAAAGACGTGTTTGAAGTAGCAATATCTAAACTTGATGCCTACTTTGCACCAAATCAGAACAAAGTATACGAGAGACAGACTCCTTAAACAAGAACCTAACGAAAAAATTTAAATTTGTGGTGAGACTGGGAAAACAAGCTGATAAATGTCAGTTTGCTGACAGAGATGAAAACATTATCGACCAAATAACGAAAAAATGTTTTCTACCCGAACTGAGAAAAACGATATCACAGATTGGGGATGAAATTACATTAGAGCAAGTAATCACCGAAGCAAATACTCTTGAAGTTGTTAATAAACAATTAGACGAGTTTAAAAACCCACAGAAATCAAATGAGAATCAAGAAGTAAACAGGATGGATAGTAAATTTAAAAGAAAAGTCGTTTCGACAGGAAGAAGAACTTAAACATAGGGATATTATAGAGCCGATAGTGGGTTCTTCTAAATGGGTGTCCCCTGTAGTGCCGGTGCTGAAAGGAAATGGAGCCATTGTACGAGAAAATTACCCATTGCCGACGATGGACAAGTTGCTACCTAAAATGAAAAATGCAAAAGTATTTACAATATTGGATATTAAAGTCGCATTTCACCAACTTGAAATAGATCCTGCTTCAAGAAACAACCACCTTTATAACCAGTAAAGGCTTATTAAGATACAAGAGAGTCATGTTTGGCATATCATGTAACCGAAAACTGGGGACCAGAACAAAAGGGGTATTTTAAGTCGTTGAAGGAAATCATGACAAATATTCCTAGCTTAGGGTATTATAATGTTAGCACTTAGCGATCGTACGATTGTCATAGCAGATGCTAGTCCTGTGGATTTAGGTGGAGTTTTAGTTTAAACTAATTCCAAAGGTGAGCCCAGGATTATTGCATATGGCCACAAAACTCTGACTGACTGTGAACGCCGCTATTGCCAGACAGAAAAAGAAGCGTTAATTCGCGTGTGGGCGGTGGAACATTTCCACATATTCCTTTATTGTAAAAAGATTTGAACTTATAAGAGATCACAAGCCGTTGGAGGTAATATTTGGTCCTAAATCTAAACCATGTGCAGAGATAGAGAGATGGGTTATGCGCTTACAATCGTACGACTATAAAATAGTTTACCAACCAGGGAAAACCAATATCGCCGACTCATTGTCGAGACAACAAATAAGCAAAAATGCGGAGAAATCCCTGATAAAATTGGAAGACAATCACATTTGTCATATTGTAGAGTTTGCCCGACCTCGTGATGTTTCTATTAAAGAAATAATAGATAGCACAATGGACGATAGGAAAATATTAAACGTGAAAGAGGGTTTATATCGGAACATATGGAACGACGACGTGAAGTTGTATAAAATGTTACAAAATAAACTTTGTTTTCATGAGGGTATATTATTGAGAGGAATGGGAATTGTGGTTCCCTCGGCACTCCGTAAAATAGTTTTGGATGCAGCTCACGAGGGACATCCCGGTATCGTGTCAATGAAGGCGAGACTTCGTACGAAAGTCTGGTGGCCTAGATGCGACAGAGGCTGATAAAATTGTTAAAGCCTGTAAAGGATGTACTCTAGTATCTGCACCATGTCCACCAAACCCTATAAAACGGCGTGAGTTTCCAGAAGTGCTTTGGATTGATATCGCAATTCATTACAAGTGGTGACCACATATTATAAAGAAGTGAAGATTTGTCGCAAAATTACCTCTACTGAAATTGTAGCCAAACTTAAAGGAATATTCAGTGGATTAGGAAATCAATAACTGCAGATAATAGAAGACAGTTACTCAGCGAAGAGGTTAAATCATTTCTAACAGAAATAAACATTATTCTTTTCAATACAGTACCGTATTGGCTGCGACAAAGCGGAGAGGTCGAAAGACAAAACTGTGTCATACTTAAACGTCTTAAAATAAGTATAGCTGAAAATAAAGACTGGAAGGAAAGTTTACTGGAATATTTAACCATGTACAACACATTCTGTTACTGGAAGAACCTCATCAGAACTTTTCTTCAAAAGGAAGTTTAGAGATAAATTACCTATTTATGTTATGGTAAACGATACAATAGAGAGGACAGCACAAGACACTGAGGTTATGGATAGAGAAAAAAAGAAAACAAATGGGAAAAGAAATCGGATACGATAAACGGAAGGCTGGATAGTGTGATTTAATACCAGGAGACATAGTGTAAATAAAAATATGAATAAAGGAAATAAATAAAAATAAAATAAATAAATCCAGAAACACACACGGTGGAAATCACGAAAAGAGGAGATATCACGGTAAGAAACGATGAAACCGGTCAAACTCGAAGGAGGGAAGTTGTACATTTGAAAAGAGTTCAAGGGGAATGGAATGTCTGAAAAGAAATGAAGTTAACGACGAGGAAATCAATGTCGGAACTTAACCTTAGTGTAGCTGCATAAAACTTTAATTTCATTAATTATGTTTGATTCATGTAAAATCCATCACATTACATCCAAGTTACATTAATGAGTAATCAGAGAGATATAATCAATAAAAACAAATAAAACAAAAAAGGGATGTAGTGTATTGACTAAATAAAGTGTTACTTGGTTGTCTCATGCGCCTACGTCACTTGTCAGTTGTCAGACTGGCAGTCGTAATCCGACACCCGAACGGAGCGGTTGTGTGTAGGACGTTTGTACAAGTGTTGTGGTGTTGGTGAGCCGTAAATCACTCCAAGAAGCAGGACATTACAGATCCCTTTACTAAAAAAACCAGTCGGACGGGAATCAATAAAATCTGTGAAGGCGATTTGGACTGCCCCATCAGAGTTAAATTTTTTCCCTTGCAAGAAGTTGTCCAAATTTCGAAAAAAATGGTAATCTGTTGGAGCAAGGTCCGGGCAGTACGGAGGATGTCTTAGACATTCCAAATGAAGCTCTTCTAATTTGGTAGCCGTCTGTTGTGCAGTGTGTGGTCTAGCGTTGTCGTGAAGTAGCAGTGGCGTGGAGCGATTGACCAGCCTAGGTTGTTTAGCCGCTAGCTTTTCCATCATGGTTTGCAATTGCTGACAATAGACATCAGCCGTAATAGTCTGGCCAGATTTGAGAAAACTGCAATGAACAATACCGGCACTAGTCCACCAAACGCTTACAAGTAACTTTTTTGGGGTTAATTTTCGCTTGGGGCAGGATTTGGCTGGCTGGCCAGGATCCAACCATTGCGCTGAGCGCTTTCGATTATCGTAAAGAATCCATTTTTCATCACAGGTAACGATTCGGTTTAAAATACCTTCATTATTGTGCCGGTTCAGTTATGTAACGCAGCAGTCGACGCGCGTTTGCCGGTTTGTTTCAGTCAATTCGTGAGGTACCCATCTTTCAAGCTTTTAATGTTCCCAATTTGCTTCAAGTGAATTAAAACAGTTTTATCACTAACACCGCAGCCTGCAGCTAACTCGGACGTGGTTTGCGATGGATCCGCTTCCACAATAGCCTTCAATACTTCATTATCAACTTGGGTCTCAGGCCGTCCACGGGGCTTGTTCCGCAGGTCGAAATTTCCAGAACGAAAACGTTGGAACCAAAAACGAACTGTGTTTTCTTTTGCAACATGACCGCCATACACATCATTCACCCTTCGAGTCTTATCCGCAGCACTAGTGCCACGGCGGAACTCGTACTCGTAAATAATGCGATACTTTAAGTTTTCCATTTTGTAAAATGAGTGACGCAAACAGAAAAAAACAGAAGAAAAAAACAAATGAATGACGGTCATCGAAGCACAAATACATGAGTAAATAGCTGTACAAATTTGAATTTGGAATTCCTTACCAAAGAGGAGAACATCGTGATTAAAGTGGCCAGTATGAAAAACGCCAATTTCATATGTAAGGACCTAATATATGTTTTAATATAATAATAATAATATTATTATTATTATATGTTTTTAGGTTGCTTGGGTCCGAGTGGACACACAAACAATTCTAAGTATTCACCACAACATCATCACTCAGAATCCCCGCATTAGCCTGTCTTACAATGACCATCGGTCATGGTATCTCCATATAAAGAACGTACAAGAAATGGATCGGGGATGGTACATGTGCCAAGTAAACACTGACCCCATGCGATCAAGGAAGGGATACCTCCAGGTTGTTGGTAAGTTACACGAGTAAGATGATGCTATAAAAAAGTAAATCTCGCAACTCAGGTCTTCTACCGTACAAAGTTGTGAGATCCATGTTAGTAAATTTTTTATTCAGTCCCTATTTAAGGGACCTTTTGTCTTAAGTTACTATACTCCCCTAAAGAGCATATCAATACAAAAGATTTTTGTAATTCTTTATAAAACAAAGTGCAAACGTTTTCATAAGGTCCTTACATCTTAATATTTGTTTTGATAACTTCTACAATATTGACAGTATTTTCAAAATAGAACTTTATTTTCTCGGGCATTTTTATGAACCGATGTTTTTGAATTATTTATTTTATTAGTTAGGATCCATTGCTTGTGTATTAAAACGGTTGGATAATATAAATATGTTTTATTCTGTATCTGTTTTATATTCGGTCTAAGAAAGTACACCCATATCTCTGCGTTCTCTGCGCCTAGGCTGGTTACCTTATCTAATTTATTTATTTTTTTGCCTGGAAGATATCGCTCGAAAGCGATAAGGCCGCCAGTTGCCCTCCTTTTCATTTAATTATGTCAATTGTATTCTATTTTTACAATACAGTATAATATACTAAAGAGTACATCATATACATATGTATATTGTAGATAATATGTTTTTTAAAAGCATACTAAAAAATATGAAGTTACCTTTGGGTTTGTATTTGATAGACATGTTCCATGATTTTATTCTAAATTAAAATAAATAATTTACCAATATTTTTTGAATATGAGGGATATTTCTATTATTAGTGTATGTGTATATTTTTGAACGCCAGACAGGTATTAGGCCCAAGCATCATCTCACAGAGAATTTTCGACTAAGAATCAATTAACTTCACAGTACCACCAATGATAATTGACAACATGACATCAACTGACATGGTCGTACGTGAAGGCACTAATGTCACCATGGTATGCCGAGCTACCGGCTACCCTGAACCTTACGTCATGTGGAGACGAGAAGACGGCCAAGAATTCAATTGCAACAGCGAGTCGGGTAAGCCCTCACAGTATTTTTAAATAAAACATTTCAAAGCTCCAAACATCTGCTCTTCCGGTAATCATTATGTAAAACGAAAAAGCAAAAGGAATGCAAGTACAAGTTCGAGATCAAATGCCCCTAAATACTTGAACGAATCCATTACATTGATTGTAAAGACTTCATGCGTTAATTAAGAGCCATTTTCGTTTTAGAAAAAGAAATGGTATGATGACAGTTTGAACGTTTCGCTCACAAATTGTAGTACAATCTTCGCATAGTCGAAGTATTTACAAGATTGAATCAGAAATTGAAAACGGAATTTGTTCGCTATAATATTGTATTAGATTTTCTTTTACGTTTCAACGAGCGAATTCTGTTTCATAGCAGCATGTTTGATAAAACGTATATAAAAGTTTTGTTGTGTTTGAAACGGAGGAAATGAGATCTGGAATTTTCATTATTCGTAAAACACGGCTCAGTAGTTTTGTATTCTACTGAATAGTAGAGTGATTCAACTTTGTAAAATATTTTACATCAACTCTTAACTACCAAATCATCAATTATAAATTATACTTACTTCTATTATAATACCTTAATGAAAGTTCATTATAAATATGTGGTTAGTAAAACTCTACCCCAAGAGCATATAGAAAATAGAACCACAATCACTGATATTATTTTTCCCCTATTTGAAGATCTACAGAAAAAAATATTATTGCGTCTGATAGCGATGTACTAGTCTTATGAAAATTTGACTCAGACAAATGCAATTCATTCCGTTAGACATCCTTGACAAGACAGACAATATTCTATATTAAATTATTGAAAATAGAAGGAGGAATAGTCGGAGGATTATAGCCTATTTCCTAAATATGGTTGTAAGTTTTATGTTGTTCCATTTGCGCAGTAGTTCAGAGAAAATAAATTGGCAAGTAAATGCGCCGATAGACTTTACTAACACTAGAGGTACATGCAACCCCTACCATACACAATCTCAATAAGTTATATGTATGTCTTCATATAACTTCGTTTGATTACAAAAATAAATAGGTAAATTATTAATGTTAAGTAGTGTGTAGTAAGCAACTATATTTTCGTTCATTAAAGATATTATTGACAGTGAACGTTGTGGACGGAGAAAACCTAACCATACCGAAGGTTTCGCGTCTACACATGGGTGCCTACTTATGTATAGCCTCAAATGGTGTGCCGCCTTCTATCAGCAAACGGGTGGTGTTAATGGTGCAATGTAAGTATAGAATGGTTGACAGTTTTTTTTTTTGATATTTCAAAATGAAGAAAATTGCATTCGTTTGCCAAATTCGACTTACGTTTTTTTGGAATTACCATAAAAGTTAATTGATAGCGGCTTCATCGCACAATCTTCGAAATCTGTCTTATGCAAGCCGAAACTATACTTCTCTTGCAATAGTAGTTAAATTATAGTAAGAGTTACGTAAAATTTATTACGTCAAGTCCCAAAACATGTTAAAGTATGTCAAATGGACTAGCCACCCACGACACAAGGGGTTAGTGAACTTTTTCTTTTTACTGTACATCGTTTTTAATAGGTGTAATTCAGTTTTTATTTATTTCTATTTGAAAACTTCGAAAGGAAACCGGCATACTTTAGAACCAAAAATTCGACGACGTGTGTTAGGCACAGATCATCTTTTAAAAAAATAAATAATCACGAAACAAATCAGAGAAATCTGAGGCCCATACCTAAAAGATTATAGCGCCATTGGTTAATTTTTCATTTTAACACTCATTACTTACATAGTGTTTAAAAACCAGATAAGCGGACAAATCAAAAATAATGTATTTAAACGCAAAAAGTTAAAGATCATCATATAACACACATAATTGTATTTTGAGTCCTTATGTTATTCCTATATTTAGGTTTGTATGTTTACCTTTCCTACGAACTTGATACCGCTTGCTCGAAATCGAGAATGCGTAACTATACATTTTGTACATCTAAAAACTCGTACCAAGTACCTACGGCAAAGGAAATGACTTTGAAACTAATCGAAACTATTCTAATATCTAAGTTATATATATATATATGGACTTCATCTAGTTGGCTTCTAGCTGTATACTCAGTTAATATACCTTGTATAATATCATTTCTATTGTGTAAGAATTAAGCTCGAGAATTCCTTTCCAAGTATACAAAGTTGTAATTATAACGTTCTTTTCTTCTTTCAAAGTTATTATCATAATAAGAATGTCCTTTATTAAAAAGAAATGAATAACATTTCGACTTCCAGCTTATTTAATATATTAATGTTATCAATTTCTACTCAATTTGCGAGAGATTCATGTTCCAATCAAATCTAATTGAATGCTTAGTACGGGCAGACATCAATATCATTGCAGTACCCGGTGTATGTAATAATTACTCTTCGTCCTCGTGACAAATATCCATTGTTTTATGTTTCTCAAACTGTATTTAACAAATGAGGGTAGGTACTTTAATAAACGATTTAAAAATGGAATAGTACTTACCTACCATTTTAATCAGTTTTGAAATGGAACAGTAAATTCAAATATCTTATTTCCTAGATGTCAGCAAATTATACTTAATAATTTTTCTAGGGGTGAGTGTCGTTAACGAGTATTTACGAGCTGCGTTTACCTGACGGTGCCTTCCACCGGATCGGTCGTAATTGCGCCCAATTAGGGCATTATGCTGACATGAGCACAGCGAGGAGGTGATAATAGCGATACTATCTCGAACCGTCGGGGTCGGAACATTTTCATCTCATTCCGCAAGCCAATGGGACGTTTCTTTCCTAATTCACGTGCCAGCACGTTCTAAATCTCATAATGGATACGTAAAATTCTCACGTAACTTACACTCGATTAACTGGGAGAGTTTCTGATGAATCTGCCGTCAGTTTCCATTAAAGCTGACGTCACCCTCTGAACTGTATTAGCGTTATATAATCCTCAGAATAGCGAACTTATAATAGAGAAATTGACAACTGCAGTCTACCTAATAATGCAATCTTGACTTCTGAAGTGAAGTTTATCGCTCGTAGTTTGAAAGCTATTTTGCAAATCCGATACAATTTAGGAACACATTATGGTTTTTTATAAACGTCTTAGTAGCTCATGGATTTTTTAATTAAGTAGTTTATACTTTTTTAACCGAATGGCAGAAGAAACTTGTAAAAATAAAGGGAATTTTCATAATTGTACGTATAAAATTGTGATTTGGGGTTTACCCAATTTTTGTATGGGTATCTATCTATAGTATCTAACCCATAGTTTGTCTTTGCTACTCTATCAGTAGTAGAAAGTTTTTTGTATAAAAATTAATTGCTGTTAAATTGTCGCGTTAAAATTCGAGAATGTCACATTTGGCTAATTATGATCTTCAAAGTATTTCTGGAAGTTCAGGTAAGGTTTAAAAGGTGGGAAAGATAAATAATAAATAAATACTCAAAAGTACACTTGAATTTTCCAATAATAACTGTTTCTAGCCGTAAAATTGTCTTTTTAGAAATAAAAAAACACATCACTTTGTAGTCAAACGTCATGTATATGTATAACGTCTTTATCATTGCTGTAGCAAGAGTACATGTGTGATCTTCATTGTCTCTTTAAAAAAATTGTATTAAGTTTTGACAACATTTTACACAAGTATATGTAGGTGACACGAAGTTCACCGGGTCATCTAGTAATACGTATAACTTATAATAAATTGGCGTTTATATCCGTTAAACAAATGTTTTAGGTATGTGTAGTAGTCACGTAGACCAGAGACAATTATGAATAACAGTATACGAATGTAATATCTATGTATTTCGTGTCACTGTGGTCGCTATTAATATGATTTATTAACAATTTGGATGCAGTCCCGCCAATGTTATCAATCCCGAACCAGTTGGAGGCTGCGTATTTAGGACAAGATGTGACATTGGAGTGCCACACTGAGGCATACCCTTCATCTATAAACTATTGGACAACGGATAGAGGAGATATGATAATATCAGGTATAGCCTTTATTCAGGTCTCACTTGAATAGTATTCTTTATTTGAAATTATATTAATGTGGCCTTTGTTTTATTATTTATATTCAATTGTTTTACACAGCCTAGTCAAGACATAGGCTACACATATTTATATATTTTTTAGTTTTTCTTGTGTTATCAATATTTGTTGCACATTCACCTAGAATTCCAAGTATGGATAAAAACTAAATCAGTCTTAATAGACACTGAACTAATGAACTCTTTTGTCACTTTCTCTCAAATGGTTTTTACACTGAGATGGAAAGAATAGAAATTGTTGGAAGGTGATATGTAAATCATCTGTTATGTCGATCTTATTTCAAACACGTTGTTGGCTAATGATTGCCTTTATGTCTGAGGTCCTTGGTTCACTTGCTGTGGAAAATTATTCGGTATTGAAGACACATGCCTTCTGCAAGTAAATAATTAGTAATACACAAATTTGTAATGAATATTTAATAACAGGTATAACAAGATTATATAACGTTATCAACATTATAGGTAATAAATACATCACATCTCTGAGCGATGACGGCTACAGTCGGAAGATGAATCTAGTGATAAAAAAAGTATCAGCAAAAGATTTCTCGTCGTATCGCTGCGTCGCTAAGAACTCATTGGGCGAAACGGACGGCCTAATACGTCTGGATGGTAACATATGCATTTCTATTTACAATTAATTATTTATCAAGTCTAATAAAATATTTGTTATCGGATTTATTATCAGGAGCTATTTTTGAACTTTTATGAGAAAAACAACACCTAGTGTTAAGGTTTTTTTCAAAACGACATCTCTAAGGTATTGATATTCATTTTAACGTTTAAATTCTAAATTTAAATTGAGAGAAGCCAGACACAATGTTGTCATAATTTCGTTTTAAATATTTACTAAAAACCTTTTGTGACATATCTGAAGATGTGTACTTTTTCTAAACGACTGTGAAATATAAAGATACAATCCAACTTATTTGAATAAACGTGTAATTAAAAATGTTCTAATATCTCATGAAAGTATATTCAAATTCCACTTGAAGCTGATCAAAATCAAAGACTAAACTGTGTAAATTATTTCACGATTACACACGTGAACATTTTTTACTCAATTAAATTACATCCAACTTATTTCATTTTGTTCGTAGAAATTCCAGCGCCGTCAACAATTAGCACCACAGTCAGTTACGTCGCAACTTATCCACAGAAGAAAAAAGGTATAAATAAAGGCTTATTTCAATATATTATAGGATCTATTAAACGCGTGGCCCTGTGGAAAGGATGAATGAGAAGCGGCTTACTAGTATAATATGCAACAGTGGATGGTGAGGTCGGGTCAAAAGTACCCGTGACCAACGAGCATGCATGGTGAATGTCGTGAAAAAAGCGTGAATGTATACGAAAACAATAATAAACACGAATGTATAAGATATTTTGCAGTTATGACCAAATTAAATGCATTAATTGCGTAACACGTGTAAGAAAAATAAAGTAAAAAAATATATTTATTTCATGTAACATCGTCTTGAACGTAACATGAAAACATACCCTATTTATAAACCAATCAAAGGCATCAAATAGCTATTGAATATTTAGCACACTCGTTTTACTTTGTAATAAATAATAGAGACACAGAAAACAAAGTAAGCACAGAATCAAAATGTGTGTTCTTCTTCTTTTCAGCACGTGAATAGAATTTGAAGGAAAGAGACAAAATAGTACTTTAGTTAAAACAATGCTAGAGGTTTTATGAATTTGCTAATCTGATAAGTAACATGATGATCAAATTAGGGTACTATCATGACCTTGACAAATAAATTACGACTTCAACCTTCCACCTTAAATACACCAAATATTAGATATGACAGAATTTTTGCAGTGATCCGTTTTTACACCAAGTGTATTGATACAAAACTAACGTAATTTCTGTAATAAATGTCGGTACTGGAATCGACACCATATTAATTTTTCATGTTCATCCAACCCTTTTAGTTGGTTATTGGATAAATTGGAAATTCGGGCAAGCGCGATTAGACAAGCAATAGTTACAAAGTTTACGGATTTATACGTGCAACGAAAGGTTGTATTTTCTATTTATTGCTTTTATCAAAGCGATATGTTCTTTAGTGTGCGTGATAAGCCGTACCTTTGTTTGACACACTTTATTTAATTGAAATACTTTGGCCAAATAAAAATATATCATATGCGTATGTAACGGATGGATTACGTTATGCTATATTAGCATTTATTTCTTTTTTGCGCCAACGTTTAATCAAAAAAAGAAAATATAAAGTTATACAAACTAGAACCAATATGTGGTATCGATAATAGGTGCGGGCGTGCTCAAATATAATAATTATTGAAAATAATTCAATTTTGATATCCCTTATTTTACTCATGCATGCATGCTATGGGTCCGTTTTAACCAGAAGACGTTGAATAAATTCAAATTCAAATTCAAAAATCATTTAATCATATGGGTAACACTTTGTACACTTATGACTTGTCTGTAAAGAAATACATATAAATGCTTCTAATTTTACATTTAGTGCTAGTTCTCAAATCAAGGGCGTAGAACGGAAGAGAAGAACTGGCAATAAACTCTCCGCCACTCTTTTTAATCGCCATGTTTTTTTTTTAACAACGTTTGTAAGGAGCTGCAACCATTAAACCATGTTCCACATGACATCTTAAGTAATTAATAATAATAACATAAATTAAAAACAAAGAGTTGTCCTCTATCAGCAGGAGGCATGGTGAAATAGGAGCACGCACTTACATTCGTGGGAACAACGCGCAAACACATAGTCGAAATAATTAACATACACGAATTCAAGTACGACCAGTCACCACAAGTAGCACCCGTTCACGAGTATGACGCATGGCCAGCCATCGGCCCCCTCGCCATATTTTAGGGAGAGAGACAACCCGACGCATGGACGCCGCCACAAGCAATGACATTTAAGCGAGCATGACGATCCTTGAAATGTGGACTTGGCTACATAAGAAAATAATAATAATACTGAAATAATTGGATACCACATGGATCACGGTTTGATACGCTCCAGATTCAATAAAACAACACGTCTGGGCTACTAGGTGATTGCCAAGACCCGAATTGACGGTTTTAATGCTATCATTCGAAAAAGAGTACCACTAGCACCAATGGTATCCAGAATGTGTTGGTTACAAAGAACACGCATATCTTGAATCGTTGGTATGCTTTCTATGTTCACTATAGGAGATTTTTTGTATTTTTTACTAACCAATACTATCATAGCAACTAAGACCGAATACCGTTACTACCTCTAGTTAAAACTGCACATGGATGTACTCCGAAATAAAGAAATTATTATTATATATTTAATATAACCTTTTTATTTTCAATAAAGGAGGAAATTTAACTAAAATTTTGTCATGCAGTCTGTGAATCTAAATGTCCAAAAACACGTTTCCCTTGAATATGATTCAACATTGACATTTCCTACGTTGCTACTACGTAGCATGAAGATAGTCTAATCAATTTACAGGGTCACAATATCAAATATGTTAGCATTATATTTTTTTGCAATATTGTAATATGAAAAGTTGTAATTCCACTGCATAACAACCAAATGATCTGATGCAGCGCAGGGCGAAAAACTTAAACCAATCGAGTTTGTCATAAGCCATTTCAGTTTTGCCTGACATGAATTTTAATCTATAGTAAATGTATCAAAAATAATACGGCTTAAAAAAATCATTGACTGTTACCAAATAACTCACCCGAACGCAAATTTCTAAGAATATTTAAACTTAGTTAACGCGTGAATGCCTTGCTTTGAAAAGCTTAACTTAAATTTCTGAGATTAAAGTTTGAATTTTATAATTTGTTTGTGATCAATAGGTAAGCACAAAAATCGTTGGCGTGATAGCTCAGCTGAGAACAGAGTCATCGGGGACTACGAAGTTGAAGAATGGAAAGATATTGGTGAGTGAATTGAATAATGATGTTATTGATTGAATTGAATAATTAATTCTTTTATAATGAATTCTTTCGTAAATGACCAGACCAATTTCTATCTAAAAATATGATTAAATTTTAAGTCGGGTTAGTTACACTATTTATAACTCATTCTATCCCTCAAGAACGGCTGAACCTATTTGGCTGAAAATTGGTGGGGAGGTAGCTTAGAACCAGAAGACGAATATAGATTTTTAATCTGTTTCCGTGAGACGTAACATAAAGCGTGGTATAACAAAACACACACACAAACACAAACAGTAAAACAAAAAATTTTGTCTATCACAAGGTGTTTCACTGTGCAACCTATGCACCAAATTATTGCTTCTAAGGCGGAACAAGGTTCGCCGAGTCGGAAAGTATGAAAATAAAAATAACATTCTCAGTAAGATATCAATAAAAATGTCTACTAGTCATACATAATACATAATCTAGTTTGACGTTTGCGGCTGTATCACCCAGTCATATGAAAATGTGTAAGTCTAAATCGTAGATGGCGTAGTATCTAATCAGAAAATAGCAAGCAATATTTTATTATTTTAGTTGTTTTCGGTCATTAATCTTTGTACCTAAAATAAAGAAATACACAAACATTTGGGTTTTACCGTTCTGTTCTTAGCTACGTTTAGTTCCATATCTGTTTTTAAATATAAAAATTTATCTCAGTATTCTCGAAGAACAGAATAGAAAACTTATATATATGTTAACGTAAAATTGTAAAAACCGTTAGATTGTAATCTATCTCGCGAGATTATAAACTGTCGAAAGATTGTGAACCTCAGCGTACTGCTCACAATTTAACGTATTATTATTCGGTAGATTGTAATCTATCGAAGTGAAACCGTCAAATTGTGAAACGACCATTTTCTACTTTTCTATTGGTTATAAGAGATGTGACATTCTCGTTTTCTATTGGTTATAAGTGATGTGACATTCTCGGTAAACTAATCGAATCGATTATTTACTCATTTGTTAATTTTAAAGTTAAACCTACTTTAACCATTACTTGTCAAATGTATTTATTTATTTATTTAGTTATAAAGCTTACGACATCACACACAGTCCTAAATCTACTAATAATTTTACAAAATCTTACTTCTAAAATGTGTGACAGTTAATGTAAGCATAATTTTCTCCAAAAAAAATTTAAATAGAAATTAAAAAAATACAATTTAAACATAAACGACATACAAGCACACAAATAAAATAAAATTACAGAAATTTGTTGGCACTTAGAGCAGAAAAAAAGAAAAATCATCAGCAAACCACCGAAATTAGGTTACCTCACAATGCTTTCTCTAAAACCGATCAGACCACTACCGAATATATTCAGCTCCGGATAAGCTGTGTTCAATTTGTTAAAATCACGAAGAATTCGAACGAGAGGTGCCTGAACTCCTAGGTTGGTTTTCAAAAATAAGCTATTTTTTAAAAGTGAAAATCGATTTTTGTATTCGATTTCGGTTTCAGTTGAACAGTTATTTAAAAAAAATATTAATATACTAACCTAACCTAACCGAATAATAATACATTTTTTGGACAGCTCCGGCGCTACGGGAAATGCACCCCCTCCACCCTTGCTGCTCTTCCTCCGCGCCTCTGATTTTTTATATACACTCTAGGGGTAGGCCAGACAAGACCACGTGGATAGTGGGGTGCTCTGATTCGGTTTTGGGTACTTTTTCAATAATTTCAAAATTTTCGGAATCCTACACTAATTGAAACATGAAGTTAATGTAATGTATGTACATTTGACAAGTAATGGTTAAATTAGGTTTAACTTTAAAATTAACAAATGAGGAAATATTCGATTCGATTAGGTTCAACTTTAAAATTAACAAATGACGAAATAATCGATTCGATTAATTTACCGAGAATGTCACATCACTTATAACCAATAGAAAAGTAGAAAATAGCCGTTTCACAATTTGACGGTTTCACTTCGATAGATTACAATCTACCGAATAATAATACGTTAAATTGTAAGCAGTTCGTTGAGGTTCACAATATTTCGACAGTTTACAATCTCGCGAGATAGATTACAATCTAACGGTGTTTACAATTTTACGCTGACATATATAACAATGAACTCAAAATTCAAGTACTATATTTGTTTTGACGAAACCGTGTTTTGTTATTTTGTTGTACAAATGTTTTTACGATGTTTTTTTCTTTTTTACGGGCAGTTTTATAACATTTTTTAAGTTCCTTTGTCTTTAAGTGGTTCTTGTACGGTGCTTCTTTCACTCTCCAGTATTTTGTCTTTTTATTTGTTTGAAAGAGTATTTTTTTCTTTTAGATTCCGTCTTACTTTCTGTTCGATGATAGTAGGTACAAATTTTGTTACAAGCTGATCGACATGGCTTTGTCCGCGAAGACAACATTTTGTTTTGAGTGTAATAAAAATCTTATAATAATTTTATTGGTACCAAATAGTCTGCATAGCTTTTGATGTTAACGTTCTTGAATTCGGATTAATTTTTGTTCGCGGCCAGTTTAGGTGGGTAGGAATCTCCAAATCACCCAGCCTATCTCCTTTTCTTAGGATTTTCTACGCTACCGTGAGCACTGGCGTCACGCACCACAAATCTACGGTAGACAATCCTGAGAAACATTACACGAAATTTACGATAGTTTCTTCAAGTATTCAAGTCAATTTGTGACAGTTCAAACGCTTAAACTTTCCATTAAATTTGTATTTAATATATGCACTTCACGAAACTTTTATACATAATGGCCATGATTTGAGTTACAAACACCCACATCACGGATCGCTACTCAAGTATTTTCACACACAAATGTATGTATGATGTGTTACTATCTATTACATAAACTTTCGATTTTATCTGAGAGATACGACCTCCAACTATTCAAAATTCGAGTGTACTCAAAGGTCGGGAACGCACCCACTAAAAATGGGTGTCTATGAGCTGCGATGACTGCCCTTTTTGGGCTTCCCGCAGGCTCGTTTGCCCCCCTATTATATAAAAAGAACCCTATCGTTCCTGCTTCTTTATTATTTTCGGTATACTGTATTAACGTCTTAATCCGTGGTTAACCGGCTATAATAGAAAGATATCTATTTTATTAAAGCAACACATTGAACAAAGAAACACCAATCACTTTAACCAATAAAGGCTTTAGCTTGCTATCACAACCAAAACTGATTTTTAGTGGACCATTACTAATGTCTACAAATTTAAAGAAACCTTTCATTATAAAATTCGTAAGAAAATTAATGTATTCCCTTTACATTTTTTGTCCAACAGATTATGATTCAACGCAGTCTTCGAGGAGCAGTGCCGCGTATGGAAGTACCCTAGTATTTTTATTTATACTATTTCTTAGCTGACATCAACTATTGTAATCACTTTCAGTGCCAATATTAAAAGTATAAGCTTTGTATATCGCCGAGTTAAGTTGTAAATTACTATATACTTTTGTGTAAATAATTGTATTGTTTAATTAATCGCTAATAAAACCGAGATGTAGCACTCGAATACACATACATATATGATATAAATTTGATGTTCGTTGGTCTGATTAGTGACCCGTTTAATATCATATGTTCGCTGTCACGAGATTTATGTTACCAAATAAGAAGGTACATATTTGTCGTAATTGTTATGTCCATAAGAAATATTTTCGGGGTTAGCTATCTTGGACTTCCTTTAATTGATATTGTAACCTGTGTTAACCGGACTCAGAATCCGTCATTAAGATTTGACTGTTACTTAAATTAATTATATTTAAATTACACCCGCTAATAGAACCCAACTGAAAAAGGTATGCCCTATGCGTTTTTCAATTAGCTGTTAACTCGAGGTAGATCAATCTTTTGATAATTAATTAAAAAAACTTGCAGGCTACAAAGAAACAAAATACGATAATGATATACATTTATATTTTTATGTTTCGAATAAATCTTTTAGAAACTGTATATATTATTATCAAAAAGTTGTAACAACAGTATAGCACAACAGCTGTTCTTTAGTATGAATTATTGATTTATATTATAGTATAGAAGTTGCTATATCTCTAGTTGCGACTTTACAACGTTTTGAAGCTTTTTAATTACAACCTCTAGCTGTAAGCTTACATATTCCAAAGTTGCATTTCACGGTTTGCCAGGTAATTTTTCTGTCCGTACCACTTCTCTTCATCTGTTTTTCAGGCTATAACAAGACACTTCAAAAAAGAGCAAATGTGTTTATTATCTAGGTGTGATTAAACTTAGCTGCATCCACACCTTCAAGTGGGATGTTCGGCTAAAAAAACAAAAATTAAATGGCCCTGTATTTTTTCGCGTTCGGTAAAATTCTCTGACAAAGCAATATAAGTAAAATGGTTTTGAGATCTCCTAGAAAAATAGACGAAAACTGAACGATTCTATCGAAGTTGTAAACCTATTGTGGGCATTGTTACATTCGTTAGTTCTCGTCCCATTTTTCAGTAAGTGTCGTAGCACTTTAGTGAAATGAAATGAAATGAAATGAAATAGTTTATTCTTGCAAGTAGGACTATATAAATCACTTTTACAATGTCTTCCTAAACTAGATGAAGTCGACATTTCCTAACTGACTGCCCTGAGAAGAAATGTCGAAACAAACTCGGGGGTCTTAGTCTCTTTTATAGTCCAGATAATACAATAATAAATTAATAAGTTGGTGTAAACAAATGCAGAGTAATTTACTGGACTGGTCTTTGGAAGAAAGAACCAGATCGATCTGAGCAAGCCTGCGCCAGCAGACGGCTAGCATGCCCCGAATAGCTCATGCAGCTCAACCATTTTTGAGGGAGCTGCACAACCCGGTACACAACAATACCGCCAGAGGCACCATAAAGATATGTGGGGCAACAACTCACTCAGATCGCCAGCCCAAAATAACTATAGACTAAAATGTATCAAATTATAAATCAAGCAAAAGAGTTTATGATATACCCGCATAATGTTTACACTTACAATGGATACAAA